GCCCACTTTAATTGCATATTAGATTACAATTCTTAAGAAAGCATGTTAACTGGAAAACAAGTCATCTTTTTGTGATCTCAAAATACAATTTTCCAAGTGGATCTGGATATTTCATCCATGCTATTATCTAATACTGCTGCTCTTTAAACAGAAACAAAGGCATCGTTGTTTCTGTAAGAATACAAAATTTAATTGTGTCCTCCCTCAAAAGCCCAAATGTACAAATGTAAATATTATTATTTACTGTATTACTTTCCATATGAACAACTGTAAACCTACTTTTACCCCACCTTGTATATACTGTGCTATACTAAAGTATATTCTACTTTGAACATTCAGTTAATTTAACTGATTTATGGGGAATTTTCACTCATATTAATAGAAAAGGCCTACCTGTAACTAAAAAGCACAATTCAACAATGACTAATTCCAAGTCAGCCAGATGAATTACCCACAGAGCAATGGCATGACACACAATCCATGGAAGAACCCCTTGGCAATGGTTGAACTGTTAAGGATGCTATTGGAGAAATGAGAAACCAGTCTACTTCATTTTTCACTTGAACTTTGAAACTAAATGATGTCTCACCTCAACTCTGACCTTGAAAAGGATCAAAAAAGTATTCACACTCAATCATGTCTCCGGCACAAAAATGTTATGTTTTTATTCTTATCCTTAACACTTTTTGTCTTCCGGACAGAAAGTATAGCGTCAGTCACCGGTGACTGACTGGGCGCTTAACGTGTTAAGTTACAGACAAACAGAAGTTATTTATATAGTGTAAGGGTTAAGAGACAAGCTCTAGCCAAACCGGTTTGGCTCAGTAGATAGAGCGTCGGCCTGTGGACTGAAAGGTCCCAGGTTCGATTCCGGTCAAGGGCATGTACCTTGGTTGCGGGCACATCCCCAGTAGGAGGTGTGCAGGAGGCAGCTGGTCGATGTTTCTCTCTCATTGATGTTTCTAACTCTTTATCCCTCTCCCTTCCTCTCTGTAAAAAAATCAATAAAATATATTTTTAAAAAAAAAGAGAGACAAACTCTAAATCAGACTTTCTGGGTCCATACCTAGTTATATGAAATTAGACGAATTATTTAGTGTTTGTTTTTCAATTTCCTCATCGGATAGGAAGAAAATACTATCACCCTCAGCGAGCTGCTGCACACATAGCAGGTATTAAGTGTTTGCTATTCGTACTAACTGTGTCTATTAAACATTTTCGGGGGGGGGGGGCGGTGGGGAGCATCATTCCTGGGAAACAGAAGACCTGGGAATCTGGGCCTGAGCCCACAAGGCATATTCTTGGGCTCAGCTGTCCCACCTTTAAATGAAAGGGCCCCACCAGATGATATCTCAAATTTTGCAAAAGAATAAGTAATGGAATAAATTAGTAAAGTACTGCGTGTTACCATGGACCACAGCTACAACGAAGGTCACGCTATAGTACATATAAGAACAAAACAGAAAAAAGCAGAGCAGTAAAGAAAACTTGAGAATATCTTCCTAAAATAGGAGATAGGTCTAGAACCAACATCTGAAAAAGAATGGTAAGTTTAAAAAAAGAATCCAAATAGTATCAGAAACAACGCCTCAGGAAGAAAGTCCTAGAACGTATTTAAATGTGCCCAATTGTAGAACGAGCAGCCGGGGAGGGGAGAAAAGGAGGGTTTGTTGCTCAGAGGGGGCAATTCAATTTTGGGAATGGATGGTCAAAAACGGCCCTGGTCTGTCTCTTTTCCTATTGGATCCCCTAATGTCTACTACAACGTCCCGCACGCAGAAGATGCCATATTCATACCTGAGAAATGAACAAATAAATGTATGTATGAGAAGCGAGAGAGCCAAGTCCAAGTCCAGACCAAACCATGGGATGGGGTTCGAGAGATGGGGATCGAGAGACAGAGGGAAGTGAGAGGCTGGGATTGGGGAAGTCCAGGATCTGGGGGAGGTCTGAAGGCGAGAGGTGAAGGGGGGTGGGGGGGGAGGAGGAGGCAGGGGACTGGCCCGGCGCCCCAGAGGTCACCTGCGACGTCGGGGGGCGGCAGCCCGGGGTGGAAGTGCTGCCACAGCCCCTGCAGGAAGGCGGCGCCGCTGTCCACGCAGCGGTGCTTGGAGCTGGTGATGAGCTGCAGGCGGCCGTAGTTCTCGCGGCTGAAGAGGGCGGGGAAGAGGGAGGCCAGGCGCAGCGCCAGCTGTCGCATGTCCTGCCGCCCCTTGTCGACCAGCTGCCCGTCCATCCAGTCCGCGTACCACAGCGGCCAGGCGGCCAGCGCGGCGCCCAGGTCCCCCCCGGGCCCGCGGGCCTCCAGCAGCCCGTGCAGCTGCCGCAGCTTGCGGATCTGCTTGGCCGTCGGGTAGCGGGTGCCGTGGCGGATGAGGCCGACCAGCTGCACCGGGGTGCAGGTCTCCTCCAGCAGCTGCGGGTCGCGCAGCGGCGCCTCGGGGTCCCGCCGCAGCCCGGGGTTGGCATCCTCGTAGCGAGTTTTGGTGCCGAAGTAGGGGCTGAGCGCCGAGACCGCGGGGTGCTCCGGCTCCAGGAGGGAGCAGCGCGAGAGCGACGAGAGCAGAGCCACCGCCAGGACCGCGGAGGGTGCCGAGGGAGCCCCGCGCAGGCAGCGGGCGCCGCGGAGCATGGTGCGGGCGGCCCGCGGGGGGCGGTGAGCGGGCGGCAGCCGCTGACTTCCGGTTCCGGCGGGCAGCGGGGGGCGGGACGGGGCGTCGCTTCCGTCGGAGCCCCCAGTGGACTCGCAGCTGGCGGTGGACCCCGGGCGCCGGCGGGAAGCGGCGAGGCCCGGCGCGGACCTGAGCTCAAATGAAACCGAAGGAAACCCCGGGGAGCTCTGGGGACCGGCGGTTTGGGCGGCTCTGGCGTCGCCGGCCCGGAGCGTGGGCGAGTGTCCTCGTCGCAGGTGCCGCGGGGCCTGACGCCACGACGCCCCCGCGCTCTGAAGGTTCAAAGGTGTGAATAAGCCCGGACGCAGCCTTCGCCTCCAAAGCGGCCGAAACAGGACGCCTTGGAGCAGCTGACTCTTGTACTCACCATCCTTCCCCGTCCTACTCTGCTTTTCAAAATGCGGTCTGAACCATCGCATCAGACGCACCCGAGGCGGTTGTTAAAAGTGCAGAACCCGAGAGGCCTGCCCCCTGAAGCCCAAGGCGGGCGCCCATTCGTAGTTGAGCACCAACAGTATACAAGGCGGAGGAGAACCGGGAAGGAGGCCCAGTTCTCCAGGGAATTTAATTCCTGAGCTTTTGGTCGTCTCTTGACCCAGCCGAGCAAAGCTGACTAATGTGAGACCGCACCCTAAAAGTACTGTGTGTGTTGACCCTGAAGGCTTAGTAAGACATCGCGATCCTGGTCATTTGGGCGCATTGAGTCATGGCCCAACAGATTTACTCCGTTATTAAATGTGAGTTAATCTGCTACGTGAAGCAAACAAGCTCTCTACTTACCACCGTTCCGAGTCCAAACTCTACGCCCCTGTAATTACTCAAATCAGCAGCTAGGGGTTTTGTTGTTGTTGTTCTTGGTTATTGCTCAGAAATCTTTGACACTCGCCCCAAATCGTAACTCTGAACAATATCTTATTTTCTCCACTTGAACCCCAGTTTATAGGCCAGTTGGAAAAAGAATGTAAGTATTGAAGAAGTTTGGGTCATGTCTTTGTAAAGTGTAGCTTTTCCTTCAAAGACACTAGTAAATGGCTCTTGGCAAGTCATCTCCATCCTTACTCTGTCCTTCAGTGCCTCTCTGATCCAGAGGGGGGTACCTCTACATGTTAACCTATGAAGAAGCTAGCAAGTCTCCCCAAAGGCATCACTCCTTCCTAGTGAAGCAGCCTTTACAGATCCTGCCTAACTACTTACAAGACCTATGTCATGTATTTGCATGGACTATATTTGCCCCTAGCTTGATTTTTTTCCTTTAATCACTCATCTGTTAATTTTATGCCGTTTATATACTTACGTAAACAACTTCAATTATTTTGATGCCAAGCCACGATGACAAATGATAAAATAAAATTAAGCAATGCCTTTATACTTTTGGTTAGGAAAAAAACCAGATATAGTATAAAGAGGACATAAACTTTGGATCCAGACTCCAAGCTCAGCCACACATTAACGGAATGGTCTTAGAAAATTACCCAAGGCCTCTTAGCCTGAGATTTTTTATCTGAAAATTAGGAACCTACACCATAGGATTACTGTAAGAATCAGATTGTTATCAGAAAAAAACGTCGGTGGTCTTTCTCCATTGCTAGTGGGAGTTGGGTTCTTGGGGTACCACTGGAATAAGCATTTCCAGAGGCCCCCATGGGAGGTTGAGATAGGGTAGAAAGCTTTTATTTTTGTGGAATTAAATTACTCCGTTTCCAAAATCCCATTTCTCTTAGTCCAGTCATAGAAGTGTCGTTGGGGTTTCAGTGAAGCTAGAAGCAGAGCCAGTGTCCAGTTTCCATGTTGGAGCTGGGTCCAGTTCAGCATCAGGCTAGTTGCAGTCCATTAGTCCGTTGTGTATGGGCATGGCCATACGGGCAAACGCAAAGTAGCCCCACAAACCCAGAGTCACACAAGTCCCAAGAGTCCCCAAAGCAGTACGAGAGCCAAGAGCGAATTCCTTTGTTTAGGAAATTAAATATCCCAAATTCTGCATCCGTGTAGTGGCCATGCCCATTTTGTTCTCAGGTGTGACTGACAGTAAGCACCTTGCCTATGTCAGTCCAACTTACTGGGCATGCACCTATCTCCCCTTTGTTGGTCCCCTGGGGAGTGTAGTAGCTTCCTGGCGAAGCTGCCCAATGACATGCCTATAATGTCTGGTCTTCCCTTTGCTCCTTTCCTGTTAATAATAACTAGTTAATTACAACAGTATCAAGATGATGTATTTAAAACGCATAAAATAGGCTTCTGTGAGTTGTATTATTATCAACAATGTTCAACATTATTATTCCAATATTAACATTCTTAGCGTTCTAGCAACTATACGATATAAACTTGCTTCCACATTAAAGTGAATGACATTCATGGGCAAGACATGCATCAAAGATCATTTCAAAACTTTTTAAATAATAAAAAAAAAATCATCTCACTTAAAGATGGGTCTCATGCTTAAAGCAGTGAGCACTTTTGAGAAGTTTTAAGAAACTGACCCTGCTTATCTTTTCATGTCAGGAACATGTCTTAATTCTTTGGCCAGCCTATAAGTTAGCTGCCCTTTGAAATAGGTGCCCACATTGTCCAATCAGTTGGTACGCAGGAATTTACATGGTATAAAACATGGCTGCTCCTTTGCAAAGACTATGGATGGATTGCTTTCCCTCATAAGAAGTTGTGGGCATGGTAGCAATGTATTTGGCAAATCTACAACAGCACAAATGATATGATAGAAAAACAATGACTCAAGTTCCTTAATGAGATGGGAGGGGATGGAACCAAGAGCACTGTCAGAATTTGATTTGAACCAGAAGGAGAGGAGACCTTCTGAGGGGAGATTGGAAAGAGGATGCATATGGGTACATTTGTTAGTCAGAATTCCTGGATTTCAAGCCTGGTAGCCTCAGTTTTTTGTTTGTTTGTTTGTTTGTTTGTTTGTTTGTTTGTTTCAGTGACCCAGTAGGCAAAAACTTGTCTGAGATGGGGGGTGATGACAGTTAAATCTTACCGAATTTGGAAATGGCTTAGATTTGCAACTGAGAGAAATGGGAAAAAAATGGGAAAGGATTTGAGAGAAACAAACATTAAAAGTTGGATGATCAGCTCTGAGAATCTGAGAATGTAACACTTGAATCTGTTACATCTTTCAGAATGAAAAGGAAAAAGTTGAAGTCTTTTTTTCTACATTATTTTAATTTGTCTTAAGTAGAATTTTTTTTTATTCAGTCCACTACATTAAAGAATAGGGTAGATTATTTTTGCCAGATTATTCATAGGACTTCTAAAATAGGCATTTTGTCTTAAGGTTGCATGATGTCATACATGGTATTTCAAGTTATAGCTTTCTACTGTACTTTTAAAAGAATTTATTTTAAAAGATGGTTTTCTGGTGAAGAAACAATAAAGGAAAAAGCTAAATTCTGTGGGGAAAAGGATAGGCTGTCTATGTAGACACTAAGAACTTGGTTTCTGAAGTTAGACTTTCGGGTTTCTGAATTCCAGCTTCATCACTTAATATCTGTGAGATCTTGAGTAAGTTAAACTCTGTTGCCTCGATTTGTTTTCCTCTGTACAGTGGGGATAAAACCCATGTCTGGATTGTTGAGAGGATTAAATTGGACAGTTTACGTAAAGACTTTATGTAGTTCCTGGCCCCGAGTTAGTTACTTTCAAGGAGCATTAGACTGTTTCTTATTATCACTTTTCTTTTAATCAAGTAAACTGAAAGAATGGCCAGTTTTTCATAGATATCGGTTATCTCACAACTACATTAAGCAACTAAGTTTCTCCCTAGGCCAAGAAGGTCTTAACTCTAGTATCTTATTTCCCTAACGTTTCATCTTTCCTTTGCCTGTTATTGATATAGTGCTTTTTATTATTGCAGTAGAAGAAGCCAACAGAAGAGTGGCCCATGTGCATGGACAGGGCTGGAGTGATTCTTGCTTCAACAGCAGTCCCTTCAACCTTGCTTGAATGGAGGCCGCGTAGATCACAAGCTCCACAGACTACAAGATATCTTTGCTCAGAAGGAACCACAAGGTCACTGACAGCTAGACTCAACATTGTTCCCCCGCATATCAAACTAAGCAGAGTTGTAAATTGTTTCAACTTATGAATAGAACTCCACTGAACCACACCATAGCTATAGAGTTGACCTGCAGTTTTACCCTGCTAAGGGAGTTATTTTGTAGTGACAAAACTTTTCTTCTGGTGGCCTGACACATCATGGGACTTGGAGGTTGGGAATTCTTCCTTCCCATCAAATGTTGGTTCTAAATCCACAGAACTGTTTGAGAATCCAGATACAAAATGATGGTAAGCTTAAATTACCAATATTTTAATGTTTTGCTATTCCCATTTAATAGGGGTAAACTGTAGCTATTTACTTTCTAATCCTGTTCTATAATTATTTTCCGACACAAGCCAGTATTATTGCTCAGAAACACAATTTCCTCCAGAAGTTCCCTTCATCCAAAATATATTGTTATCCCATCACAAAGATGAATAATGGGTTCCAAATCCTGGTAAAAATCCCTCTTCTCCCCTGTATTTTTTAAGAACAAGCATAGAAAAAAGCAATTGTGTTTTAGCGTCTTACGTTTTTCTGAAATGTGAGGAAAAAATTTCCAAAATTGAAAAATCTCTTTGGGCTATTGGATTCTTAAGACAATCTGTTAGCTGAGTTTAAAGTCATCAATGTTTCCTTGTCATTCCAAACAATGGAGAGCTTTCAGAACAGTTCTTTATTAGTTCTTCATCAGGAAAGCTTTCTTTCCTTAGTCCATTAATGTCAATTTCATGTCTCACTAGCCCATGCATGAACCAGTCTTCTTTCAGTTTTTGTTCACTATTTTATTGTAGCATAAATCCATATCATTGCTTTGCCTATATTATATATAGTAAATATTAAAACCAAACAATATCTAAGCTAGAAAAGCAATGTAGGCACCTGTGGACTCACATACTTGGCTGCAGGCACTTTTGTAAACAGGACAGTTCACATTCCAGCTGAAGCAAACATTATGGTTACACAACACCCCTCATTACCCCACTTAATCTTTCTTGTATTACATCTTAACACTGCCTTACTGATTCCGTACTCCAAGAGACAAAACAGTTGCTGCTAAGTCATTCATTGGTTAATACTTTAGATATGGGGGCCATGATGAAAACTTTCTGATTCCAAAGTATTCATCCAATATCTAACTTTAAGTAAACTGTCAGCAACTATTTGTTGAAAAGATGTATAAATGAATGAATACATGAAAATAGAACAAACAGGCAGTGTGGGCAGCTAAAATGTGGAAATGATACTGCTTTGCATTTATTTAGTGTAATTATCTTTCCAGCTATCCCATGACAGATATTTATATCATGTTGTAGATGTGGAAATCGAGACAAATAGAGGTCAGATGCCTTACTTAAAGTCATCCAACAAGGATTTAGTAGAACCAGTTCTAGAATGTGATTGATAGAAACATAGCTACTTTTGTGTTTCTTTTCCTGATACCTACCGTATTCTTGACAAATGAAAAGTGACTTCAAAAACTGTCACGTAGCTAGGGCTAAAAGGATAAATGTTAACACATAATACTATAGCAGTTACTATTGGTTAACTATCCAACATTTATTCTTCCTTTTACCTTGGAATCTAGGTGTAGGTATTCTGAAGAAGATCTCTCTATCTCCGCATCAGGAAAAAATCATGATTGTTTTAAACTAGTCCTGGTAACTATATTTTTCTTACCAGTTTTGGTTTAGAAAGAACATGTGACTCAGTTCTGGCCACTGAGCTATGAGGGTATTTACAGGGCAGTTTGGAAGTGTTTTGGTTCTGAGAAAGAGACAAATGATGGGATGATGAACAGTCAACACTTTATAGGGTCAATGAATTGGAGGTCCTATTGAGTCAAAGGAATATTGCAGTTTGCACAATAAAATATGCTGGAAGGAAAGGAGATGATATTCATTGAATGAAATGCTTAAAGTGAATATTGTGAAGGTGGTGCAGTAGTTGTTATTGATTAAATGAGATTATGAGATTAAGAAAGGTTAGCCAAGGCAAGTTATAGAATACAAATCTTTTAGACGGAGGTAAAAAAAGAAATTAAGACACCAAGAAGTCCTAGCTCAAACCTTTTGTTCTTGGGCCTAAACTGTTCCTACTGGATTTAAGCCTATTAGCTTCTCACCTTCCAATAGTCTATACACTCCTCTCCTCATCCCAATCCTAAAAATCCCTAGCTCACTCAGCAACTGCTCCATGAATCTTACTAAAATAAATTATTTTACATAGACATTTTGTTTTTAATAGATACTATTGATGATTTGATTCGAAAAGATGGAAGAGATTGACAGCACAGAGATGCCAAAAATTTTAAATATAATCTTTAAAAACTTCATTCTTAAAATGTGAAAGGAAGATACACACAAGAAAAAGGCAACTGCCCTGGACACTGGCATGTCCAAATGTAATGACTAGACCTGCTGCAGCCATCTTGCAACCAGAGAGGAGGCAACTTAAAAACAAAGCCAACACAATGAAATGACTCAGAAGAAAGTGGAAAGACCTGAGTACTTGTTGATGCTATTGAGCTGATGAATTAAACCTGGTGTATACCAACTATGGGCTTCTTTTCATCTAGATTCTAAGGTAATACTGTAAATGTCTTTATTGCTTAAACCAGTGTTTTATTATTTTCTGTAGAAAGCCTCCCAATTCAGGTAAGTATCCATTAACCACCCCTTAGTCCAAAGGATGTTTTTCATGCTTTTCTGATTTCTGCTGAAGTTATTTTTTGAGAATAACAGAAAATCCCATCTCCTTAGATATGACCAAAGGTCTCTAACTCAGAAAAATCATGATTATGAAACATAGGAAGCACTGGGTAGGTGGGTTGAATGAGGTATCTGGCGATGGAGAGGATCCTGGACCAGGTAAGGTGAAGTGTGAAAGCTAAGCAAGAGATGCAGATGAAAATCAGAGAAAGTAACTCTTCTGAGCAGACCTTTAGAAAGCCAGTTTTAGGGACATACGAGCTACATCTTTGGGGAGAATTGTGGAACCCACATTATAGTAATCGTGTCAATTACATCCATGATCTTTTCTCAAGAGGGGAAAATGAGTGTTTATAGGATGACTGGTGGTTCTTGTCATTCTTTTTTTTTTTTTTAATATATTTTATTGATTTTTTACAGAGAGGAAGGGAGAGAGATAGAGAGTTAGAAACATCGATGAGAGAGAAACATCGATCAGCTGCCTCCTGCACATATCCCACTGGGGATGTGCCCGCAACCAAGGTACATGCCCTTGACCGGAATCGAACCTGGGACCTTTCAGTCTGCAGGCCGACGCTCTATCCACTGAGCCAAACCGGTTTGGCGGTTCTTGTCATTCTTGTTTTCTTCAGAAACAGACCAAATTCTGTCATGTCTCATGATGACATGATAATCTAGAAATGAGAGGCTTGATTTCAATTTTTCCTGTAAATACTCAAGAGACCCATGGTATTGCTCTCTTTCAGTCTGGCACAAGTCTCACAAAATAGAAGATCGCCTTAACATTTAATGTAGGGTAATTCTCGCCCATGACCTCTTGCCTTTTCCAAACATCTTCATAAAGACGTAGTAATATTCTACTGTGAATTATATGAGAGCTGTCCATAGGGATTTAAACAGTAAATCTAACAAATAGGCTGCTCTTGGCCCCAGGACTCAGAAGTACTTATTTATTCTTACAGTTTAGGCATTTGAGGAAATATTAATTCTTGAATATATTATATTCAATTAAGTTTGAAGCCATAAAGAGGAAGGAAATAATAAGATTAGAGCAGAAATGAATGAAATAGAGAATAGAAAAAAATAGTCATTAAAAAAAAAGGGTTCTTTGAAAAGACCAATGAATTAACAAATCTTTAGCTGGATTAACTAAGGAAAAAAGACAGTATATTCAAATTACTAAAATCAGAAATTAATTAATAAGGGGACATTGATGAAGGAATAATGTAGATAATGCTACCATTTATAATTCATTTGCCAAATACAAAGGATTGTACTAAAACCTTTACATCCTTTATTTCAAAAACCTTTACAACCTTTTTAGATAGGTATCATTATCCTCTTTTACAAATGAGAAAACAGGCTCTTTGAGGTTAAATAATATATTTAAGGTCATGCAGTCATGGTATAAATATGCATGTGCTAAAAGAGAATGGAAAAGTCAGGAGTTATTTTTAAATTTCTATGATAGAGTAAATTGTTATCAATAAGAAAATGAAAGTCTGAGCGAAAGAAAGAAAGCAGAAAGAGACATTAGACAATTTTCTTTATTCAGGATAGCTAGGCTGTAGTTCAGACAAGAATTCAGGAAAGCAATAGGCAACCAGACATTTCTTTGTGTATATTTGAAAGTTCATAAACCTTAGATGTTGTTAAAAGAAGAATACATTTTTTAAAATTTCTGGAAAAAAAAGAATGTTCTGTTCTATATTAAAACTTCTTCATAAGAACATTGTTACATTGTACATTAGGCACAAATTTTATTTATTGAAGTTTTTTGTAATTTTTATTATTCATACAACTGGAATATTTAATGTATATTTTACATGTATGTCTTGCAAGTAATAGAAAATCTACTGGACATTCTTTGAAGCAAGAAGCAGTGGTGCTTAGTACACGGCTACTTTTATTTATTATCTCTGTTGTGCATAGGAATACAATAAAACATTTAAATGTATTTCTTTATTGATTTCAGAGAGGAAGAGAGAAGGAGAGAGAGATAAAAACATCAGTAATGAGAGAGAATCATTGATCGGCTGCCTCCTGCACACCCCCTACTGGGGATTGAGCCCGCAACCCAGGCATGTGCCCTTGGCCGGAATCGAACCTGGGACCCTTGAGTCTGCAGGCTGATGCTCTATCTACTGAGCCAAGCCGGCTAGGGCAATAAAACATTTTTAAGAAACTCATAATTGTAAAGGACAATGGATAAAAATATTTGATGATTTAGGATGTAGATGAGGGATAGCTGTTCTTTTAAAAACGTCTTTCTTGATTCTTTATATTTGCACTAATGACTGCAGTGGAGTTTCTGCCCTCAGATAAAATCCCAATGATAAGGTATCTGTTCTTGTCATGAGCAAATAACTGGAGTGTTTAGGATTAAACAAAATACCAAATGTTACAGGATAGAGGGGTGAGGAAAGTGTAAAGTGATAAGAGGCTCATCAGCTTAGAGTGGTTGTTTTACTGTGATACAGCAGAGTAGAAACTTGTCAGAAAGGAAAGGTGACAGGCATAAGATAAATATGTGTCCACATTATCCAACGTCAAGAGCTGAACACACTTTTTGAATTTTTATCCTCAAGATACAAATAACAGCCTTATGAGAAATTGAATGTTAAATATACATGTATTAAACCGATTTTGCTTAATGGCACATATGTTCATTCATTTATTTGATAGATAGTTACTGAGTGGCTACTTGGTAGTTTTTAGGCTTCAGAAGTAACCCAAAATTGTAGTTTCATTTCAGTCATTTTACCTCTTTCTACTGTTCTTGTTCTTGACCCTTCAGCTTTCCCTCTCCTCCATCAGGCTTTGGAACTTAAAAACTAATAACATTAAGGCTCCAGTGAAAGGAGTAACAGGGTATTTAGAGTGCTCTCAACTTTACAAAACTATCAGTGGAGTAGAACAAATATAACTCGTTAATATTTTAAACAATATTTGACTAAATTATTGCATTGCCTTGAGGTCTTGAAGGATACAATATACCATGAAGGAAAAGCAGAAGGTGCTTATCAGAGAAGTGGATTAGGAGAGCCTATTTTATCTTTGAAACATTAGAGCAGCCCCTTTAGAGAAGTGTCATTTGCCCTTGCCCAATCAGTCTACAGGCACAAGGGGCCAACGTATAGTTTGACAAAGTCAGATTACTGACTCATTGCAATGAGGGAGATCACACAGAAGAACTGTGAGGCATCTGACCAAACAACAAAAAGATAAAAGTTATTGTAGAATTTTGGGTAAGAGTGGAGTTTGGGCGACATTTAAATGAAGCAGTGTTTGGATAGACTCAAAGTAAATCATAGGTCAACATCAGGTCTGGGAAGGATCCAGGGTCGTTTACTTGGAAACTACATAAAGTTAAAGTAGATGCGGACTGTTGTGTCCAGAAGCCCCTTATCTTAAGCTCTTTCCCTGGTTGAAAATTGAGGCTAATTCCCTATGGGGTTCTCAAGAACCCCACTCCCAGACAAGAGTGGGATGTTTTATTCTTAATAATATAGTTTTAAACAACAAAGCTTCTGATAGTCTATGGTTTTAAAGAAAAGAAAAGTTTCCTTAGCAAGTAAGAAGATAGTAATCACTGAAAGAAGGGATTGTTATAACTTTTTATAGATTGTTCTTGGAAGAAATAGTTTCCTATAAACTTTGCATCTGGCTTTATCTATGTTTATTATACCAGCCTGATGAGTGATGGAGCAGATATTTACTTTCTAAGTCCCAGCTAATACTTAGTCTAAAAGAGATAACCAGCCAAGAAAGTGGAAAAGAACTTCCCAGGCAGAAAAAAACAAGTGTGAAGGTTGTGAACTTGAAAAGATCTTGATACATTCAAGAACTTAAAAGCTAATAGAACAGTAACACAGACAGCAAATGACTTGAAATGAGATGGGAGAGATAGGCAGAAAACTGTTAGTCTTATTAAGGATTTTACATTTTATCAAAGAGCAAAGAGAAATTACTAAAGGGTTTTAATCAGAGGAGTCCCCCAATCTTGATGTACTACGATGGAGAATGCCTTGTTGGGGCAGTAGTGGAAAATGGACTCATTGCAAAAGAAAATGGTGTGTGTGTGTGTGTGTTTGTTTGTTTTTATAACACCAGTAAAGGACAAAAATCAACAGATTGTCTTAGAGTTTGAAAATGTACAGTGGGAAAGAGAGAAGAATTAGGAATAATTTCCAGGTTCTGGCTTGAACATCCAGATAGTGGTGTGGTGTCATTGAGCTATAGAAGATGGGAGGCGAGGCAGGGTTGATGGGAAGAAAAAGAGTACAGCTTTATACTTCTTAAATCTGTGTCAGTGGATAGAGCATTGGCCTGCGGACTGAAAGGTCCCAGGTTCGATTCCAGTCAAGGGCATGTACCTGGGTTGCGGGCACATCCCCAGAGGGAGATGTGCAGGAGGCAGCTGATCGATGTTTCTCTCTCATCAATGTTTCTAGCTCTCTATCTCTCTTCCTTCCTCTCTGTAAAAAATCAATAAAATATATTTAAAAAAAAAAAAAAAGAGTACAGCTTTATACTTCTTAAATCTGTGTGACATTCAAGTCAGGACGGCATGAATACACTTAAATATATGGACCTGGGGTTCAGAAGAGAGGTTTGAGTTGCTGATAAATATAGAGTTGTAAGTGTATATTTAAGGCCATGGAAAAAGAAAGTAACAAAATTTCAAAAAAAAAAAGAGAATTCAGGACAAAGCCCAGGAGAACTACCAAATCCAGAAGTAGACAGAAGAAGAGCCAAGCATAAAAATGGACCAAATTCATTTATCAAAAGCTTGGTTTGATGCTTGATGTTTCTTCAGTTTTACCTGTCATCAATTTCTTAGATG